AGCATATTTTAAATGGCTGTTTGGCGTGCAAGAACTGACAGTGCTGCGCTAGGGGGGGGCAGAGTAGCCTCTCACCTAGAAAAGTGGAAGGCATGTGGCGAACCACTGAACATGGGGTCGCGACCCACTTTTGGGTCACAAAACACAAAAATTCCCCAGCCTCAACCTGCCAGCCAGCCTGCAACCAAACAGGTAGCCCTGTCAACAGCATGCGTTAAAATCAGAGGTTTCAGTTGCACAAACTTTTGGGTCACGACCCACCAGTTGAAAACCAAGGCTCTATATCATATTTCCACTGTATGCCAAAATGAAATACAAAAGTCACAGGGTGTAGACTATTTAAATCCAGCTCTTGCCAAATGACATCAGCATTATAGGGATTCCCACTGACAAGGGCTGAGTGTTCATTTTGGTGAGAAAGTGAACAGCAACATTACAGAATAAATACACCCTGTGCTCTGATAACACATCCTGCTATAGCTTTCTTTAGAATGCTGGAAAATAGCAACTGATAGGCAAATTCAAAACAGGTGACACTTCTCAGGGTGGTGCAGCAGGACATGGCATTATTCACATCCTACATTAATAAACACCCTCTCGCCCAGTATCAACTGTATTCCAGCATTGTGTGATTCACTTCCTGTGCTGTATGAACTACCTAACTGTAAAGTGGTCTATTCATAGGTGATGTTGAAAAAGCTAGTGATAAAGCAACCCATCAGCAAATAAAAGCCATATAAGGTATTTGTAAAGACAATCAAGAGTCTGGATTCATAATAAAAAGAAACAAAAACTGCAGTTCAACCCATGAAAAGAAATAAAAAGAATCATTAACTCTTAAACACATTTTTTACAATTCATCTAGTTAATGTAGACCTTTCCATAAAAGATTTGATACAGTCGGGGCCCCTCCACCCTAAGAAATCACCCGAAGTTACTAGGTGCAAAATGTACCCGAAAATTGGATTTAAACTTTCCTTACCCTTATGTTCCGCATGCAAGGCGAGATCCTGCGGAATATGGAACAGCTGAAATCTTGCAATGCTCCTGCAATGGACTGGAGTATCTTCTTGCGAGATTTACAGGGCTATTCACAAAAGGGTGAAGAGTGTGGAGAAGTGAACAATCTAGGCCAAAATAGTTGATTTGGAAAAATTCTCCAATTCAGCTCACTTTCCAGTTCAGCTATGTTGCCATAGATTGTTCACTTCTCCGGCCTTCTCCAAACTCTTCACCCTTTTGTGAATAACCCTGCTAGTCTGCTCTGCATTCCCAAGGAATCTCCCCAGAAAGTCAGTGATGCCAACAATGCAGAAGACGGAGGGTAAGTATGATTCTAACCTTTTTTTACCTAGTAATATTGGCTGATTATTAAATTCATTCTACATCACATTTCAATGCAAGTTTAAATTGACTTAGTTGCTATGTGGAAACGACCAGACCCTATTTCAGACAACGTAATAAATACAGAAAAATGTGAATGAATGTAGTCAATGATAGGATTTTTACTGATGCTAGTGACATATTTTTCGGTCTTCAAGGAGAAAAGCTAAAAGCCTCAGGTGAATGCAGTAGTAGATGGAACAATAGCAAACTCCCTCATGACAGTGGAGAATATATGTATATTTACACTAATATATAAGCATGCCTACAAAGAAGTGCATTGTTGCCTAGTAAAAGTAAAAGCACACAAGATAACATATTTTTGAAATGTAATCTCCCCTGCCTGTACTAGTGTTATGATGAGAGGCCGTGATACATTATTATTGTCATATATAAAATCTGAAACCAGTTAGGGGAATCAAAAGAAATTTAACTGAAGAGTTGTTCTTATTGTTTTACTCTTGGGAAAACCTTACTGTAGCTGTCTGCAGGATAAAGTCAGCAATTCACATACATTAAAGAAGAACTCTGGGATTTTATAAAACTTACCCTCTTAGTGGATCTATCCCCCTCACCGCAAGGGTTAAAGTTATATTAAAGTCAAAAGGTTTTTTAAGCTACTTCAAGTGCTTGGATTAAACCATTTACAATGGATGCTGCTCCTTGATGTTTTAAAGTTTTAACTTCCTGCAGAATCAGCTGGTCCCCTGATATCCAGTTTTATGGTGGCTCCTTTCCCTTGCAGGGTCCTATGGAGACACTTCTGTGTGTGCCTCAACAAACACACAGTCACAACAAGGTAAGCCTGTTGTACAACAGGTAACCCTGCTCCCCTCTCCTCCTTGCTCTTTTCTACCTTTTTCCAAGGTAGATAAAACGACAGCTACTGCAGACTGTTCTGTCCCTTGTGATCTTGTACTAGGGATGCTGAGCTGAGAGAGTTGGAGCTGTTTTGAAACATGATGACTACAAGTGCTTGGGCACAAATGTGAGAAAAAATTTTGCTGGGCTTTGTCTATTTATTTGATCTGGATTCATTATTGAAAAAAAAGTTTATGAGTTTAATATTACTTAAAGTGCTAGTTTTGGTCTAGGGACGTAAAAAAAGAAAATATATTCACCTGATCCTCGGTCCTGAGCAAGTTAGCACTCACCTCTTTCCCCCTCCACTCCAGCTGTGTCCTCACGTCTAATGCAAGTCAATAGACCTGCATTAGATGTGATGAAATCAGTTGTCTTTAGGCCGCCAGAGCCCAGGTAGAAGATGACTTAGGATATCTGCTGTATCCTAAGTCATTTGGGAGACTTGTTTTGTCTAGGGAAGTCAATAAATAGGATGTACTCACCTGATCCTCAGTCCAGCCTGACTGCTAGGGTAGAAATTGCCTAGCACCTAGCAGTCAGGCTGGACTGAGGATCAGGTGAGTACATCCTATTTATTGACTTACCTAGACAAAACAAGTACTTAACCCTTACAGTGCAGGGGTAGACCCACTGCAAGGATTCGTTTTATAATCCCCTTTTTAAGAGCACATCTTCCAGAGACACACAAGTCTCCCAAATGACTTATAATTTTTCATTTATGCAGATTTTTTTTTTCCAGCTGTATCAATTATATTTTCCCTTTAAATGAACAATAAGTTTGCAGTAGTAAAATAACGTTACCTGGAAGAAAAGGAATAATTCTTTGCTTTGGATCTTTCTGTCCGCCTTCACTGGGAAACTTGTCCAAAACTTGCATCTGCAACAGACCAATACAACTATATTAGCCAGCAAAGATAAAAGTACACTGTTGCTACGAGAGAGCATGATAACAGGTAAAACACTGCTTGGGGACCAGTTTATAAAGTTTGCTATTTGTTTCCTTCTGATTTTGCACTTTTGAGGTTCAAGCATTTTGTAGAATGTTTTTAGTGTTTAACTTCAACAATTTCTTACAGGGTTATTCACAAAAGGGTGAAGGGTTTGGAGAAGGAAGGAGAAGTAAACAATCTAGGCCAACATATCTGATTTGGAAAAGATCACCAATTCAGGTCCCGTTCCAGTTCAGCTATGTTGTCCTAGATTGTTCACTTCTCCTGCCTTCTCCAAACTCTTCACCCTTTTGTGAATAACCCTGTAAGTGTTTCTAAGCTCAAACATTTATTGTTCAGGTTTCTATGATTCGGGAGGATTCCCCTCTTTTGATAAAGCCATTGCTGTCTAATTATGAAAACTAGGGGAAAGCATGTCATGTTTGAGGACATCACTTTTACACTTTAGAAGGTTTATAAATCAGGAGAAAAAAGATAAAATGTTCATGAGACCATGCCTTTTAACAACTTTTTACACATTTACACTTTGGTGTTACAGTAATGTCTGTGTATTAATACTACAGCTATACCAGAACAGTACTATGAGTACGAGAGTACTTAGTTGTCACTATTTCTTAGTAACAGAGAGCTTACAGATACAATGATGTAGAATTTCCGAGTTTAAACTAGGGCACAAGTCAGTCTGGGTCAGATTCACTACATTCACATCACTAATTTCTCATCTGTTTTACTGCCAAATTAAACATCATAAACAAATATAGTACAGCTTGACTAATGTAACAGCCTATATGTACCAGATGTTAGCTATTTTTTGGCTTTATGGCTGTAGGAACTGCTCCGAGATAGCCAGCAATGAGAAGAGCATGCTAGCACTTATGGTGTACCAGTAAACCCCAAACATGCAATGCAGTCCCTTTTTTCACAGATTCACAGAGCTGCGTGTTATCTAGGAAACGTATATATGCATCTCTTGGAAAACCTAAAAAAAATACGACCCCCAGAAGTTAACCAGTTGCATGCCTGGACATACAAACAAAAGAATGGTCCACCGAAATTTGCATCGTAAAATCTCCATGATCTACAGGTTTGGAAAGCGGGACAAATTATCAAAATCATCCATCAGACAAAATACATTTTCATGCTAAATGTGCATATAGTTTTCATGATAACTATATGCACATGCTGATTATATATACAGTAACCACTATTGTACAATGGGATCCATCATCATACAAGTGGAACAATGTCAGTAGAGCAAGTTGAGGACAACCACACAGACTCCAATCAGCAAATTGGGTCTAAATCCTCTTTGAATACATTAAACACATGTTGGCACCTAAATAAGTCTTTATAATGTCTCCAGGTCAGGTGAGAAATAGAAAATAGATTACTAGATGCTGAGCACAGCCACTCAGACACCTCAATTTAAAAGGACCAGTGTTCTGAAGAAAAGGCGTCCTCCTTGCAACCAGTCTTCCATTACTTGTAAACCTTTGGAATAAATGGCAGTTTTTCCTACAGGAGACTGGTCAGTCAGGAGGCCCAATGTTTTACAGTATGTCATTTGATAATGGCTAAAATGGCAAACAAACAACTCACAGCTTGAACCATGCTGCATTTATTATGAACCATTTATTCTATGTAACAATACTGCTTGGATCTAGAAGATACCACCCCCAGGACTTTCATGTTCTGTTAAATGAAATGTACGTGCAAAATAAAAGTATCACGCAGTGCACTCCGCAGTATTGCTACAACTGCACTAATATACGTAAAAATCACCTTATGAATCATAAAATCTGCCTCAGGTGCCAAGAAGGAACACTTTCAGGACCTACAGACTGCATACTAGTTGTAGGACTACAACTTCACTCTTCTGGAACATATATATGGTACTCGCGTCTGGGAAAATATTCCTTCCTTCAGAGATTTGAGATGCGTGCTTTGTTTGGTGTCAGATTCACTTTTATTCCACATTGTATTGTGTCATACGCAAATATGGCACAACGGTGAGATTATGAGATACAATCTCACTTCATCAAGATTGTATCTTGATGATGTGAGTAACACAATAGCACAAATTAAGACAGAAGATGTACATCACAAGCACAATACTTCTGTCCCTTCCTCCATCAATAAACAAGACAGGGTTGTAAGAAGCGTTTGCTTTCTAGGTTGTTAACATAGACCAGTCAAACCTTGGAGTGCTGTACACATGTCCCTAGCTTGTCTCTCCCAGTTTATTTACCTTTGTGTATTTTTAGACAGAATGAGCTGGAAGTGAACCAAAACACTGTTTTCATGTTACATAGATATCTCTTGGTAATATAAATGGACTGATTAAAGCTCACGTTCGTATGGAAGCTGTTAAACGCATAACGTCCATTTATGCCCAACTTTGGTAAATGTTGCAAAGAAAAGGTCTTTATGGTGTTTTGACGCTGCTTACATGTAAGGAATACTGGAAATCTCAGACCACCCACTTCGATGCAAACATAAAAAGTGCTGGATGTCTCACCAAGACTAGAAGATGAACCATAGACAATAATAATTTTTTACTCCCCAAGCAAGTAGTATGTAGAATCATTAAGGTACATATAAGCATGAAGAACAGGAGGAAACAACAAATTCAAAAGAAACCCCAGTCCATTCAAACTAGTCCCTCTGATGCACACAACAATCTGCAAGCAAATTCAAGCAAATATCTTTTTATTGCAAAAAAACACACCAAGTGGTATAAAATGCCTAGAAGCAATTATCCAAAAATATGATAATTATATAATAGTACTGATTAGAAAATATGCTAATGCCTGCTATAGAAGGTGAAAGTTATTTCTACTAGGGATGTCCAAATACCAAGTATCGTACTCGGTACAAGTACAAGTACAGATACTTTTCCATCTCCAGGACTAGACTAGAGAAAAATTCAAAAGTTAGGAGGCAGCTGTAATTTTTAAGGAGCACACGGAGCTCCTGGAATTTGTGCATCAACCATTTTAATGCATTATTTTTTTTTATAAATACATATAAGTGATGCACCGATAACATTTTTCCAAGTACAAGAACTGATACTTGCCCAAGTACTCACAGATACAAGTACTGATGATTTTTTTGTTTATTGTTATGTGACAGTTTTTCTAAAACAATACAGACTAATTATTTCAGGACAGTGGTGGAGCACCAGAGCTAGGTCCCAGCTGCAACCCTCGTAGTTCTCATGAAAATGCCAAGTATCGGCACTGGTATCTGGACAGCCCTAATTTCTACTATCAAAAACTCTTTCAATAATACTAATCTACACATTAAGGTCTGAACTAACATAACCAAACAGATGTAGAAGGCAGCAAAAGCAATGCTGACATCCTGCGGGAGAAACCCTGAGGAACTAAACTTCAATTTCCAAGAGCAAGAACTGTTAAGATTTTTCTTCTCTCTACAATACATATTGAATATGTTTGTGTGTTTGAATGTAAATCTCTATCTAAAAAGTCAAGCTTGCATAGAAATTAAAGTGCCTGCATGTACCATTAATTTTATTCATGAGTGCGTCGGGAGCCCTGAACCCATGGTGCTATAATATGTAAATCTTGACTTTTGCTATGAAAGTAGAAGAGATGCTTACAATGATCATGACTTTAAGGCCTCCACACATATATGAAGCACTGGAAGACTGTCTGCAGGAAGAAGGGCATCACATAAGGCAAACTCTGCCAAGTTACTGGGAATTTATAACAGGAGTAAGGGTGACACACAGAATCCAGCATTAAAACAGTCCCTTTATTACCAAAGATGGTACAAACAATACTGTAAGTGAAGATGTCTTTGTACCATCTTGTGCAAAAAATACTGTTTCACACTGAATTTTATGTGTTGTGTGTTGTCATTTTTCCTTTTATTTATTGCTTAAGAGTGGAGATGAGCTCAAGGAAAGGACCAAAACCAGTGGCTGGTAACAGGAGTCGGATAAGGCTTAGAGCAGTCTCAATTTACTTTTATTAATTAGTTGTTGGAAAGGCCAAGCCCTCAGAAGAATTCCTTGACTGCAGCTGCTGTCTGTTTCTGATTTCAGTTCCACTTCTATCAGACGTATACAAATATTCATGTTTATTCTGAATAATTCAGTAAGTTAAAGGAGGTTTTAAAGCACTCCTATCAGTCCTGGACAAATGCCAGGCACCAGGTAACAAAGCCACCTTGAACAATTACAGCTAGTCTTTGCTGGCATCGTCTGTGGATAAGCATTTCCCCTGTCTCCTTTAAAGTGTCTGTTAGATCCAAATCCCAATTTGAACATTTAGTCAATTCATGGTTTCAATGCTGTTAAAGCAGATGGGTCCATCATGGTAACTAAATATATATATAGCCTGCCTGAACTGTAAAGTGAGAGAGGAAGACCAAATCACATGCTTAATAAAGGAACCAGAAATGTTCTAGAGAACAGGGAAGTTGGAGAAATCATGAAGTAATACTAGAATACAGTGCTAGGACAAATGTGGCAAGAAACTGAATGAGAAGCAAGGAGCAAAGAAAAAACAGAGTTGCTTGAATCATTTAGTAGAAGGATGCCAGCAAGTACAGTCCCTATATTTCACTCACTTCAGGTTTGCTTGTAAACAGTGGTGGGCATAGGCTACAAGAAGCCCCTGTAAAGAGGAATGATTTGAGCCACTACTCAATAATATTACTCTTACTCGACATGTGGCAACAACAAGTTCCCAATGTGTATTCACAGCATGTTCCTAGCAGAGATAAAAAATGGCTATGTGGTAGCCACATGTGAAACAGGTGTACAAATATTTCCACCAATGCTCAAGCATACCTGTGGTGCTGCGATTACTGGTCTCCTCCTGAATATGCTAGCTGCTTGGCTGTATGTGGCTTTAATATTTTAAAGCCCAACTCTTGCTTCATTAGAAATGTTTTTAAA